TATTTTCCTTCATTCCCCTCATACTGTCAGTTATAAACGGATACAAGATCCAATTTTCAAGCAATGTGAGATCTTGATTTTTGAGGGGACTGGAAATTGTTGTAATTTGTAACTTCAGAGAATCAGAAAGAATGTGAAGACTAACTTGTCTATTCATGACTACGTCAACAGTATTTACAGTCGTAGCTTAAGTGCTACCCTAGGACATAAGACAAGTGAATTACAATATTTGATATTATATAGAAAATGACTAGGAAAGTTAACAGAATATAAATATATTTAGATACAGATTTAGGGTGCGTTTATGATTATTTTGAAGTGCTGTGGTTGTAATCATGATTGTGGTTATGGTTATGCTAAACTATGTTATACTATAATTGTGATTGAAAGTTATTTTGGTATTTGATTATTTATTTTTTAAAAATATTATGGATGAAATATGATAGATTTTATTAATTATTAATTAAAATTTTAAAAATATTGTAAAATATATAATTATTAAAATAAATAATATTTAATAATTTTTTAATAATTTAGGTTTTTTAGATTTGTTATCATTATTAAAATATTATAAATTATGATATAATTAAATTATATGAAATTGAGTTTTAATAGTTAATTTTGTAATTATATTAAATGTTAGGTGTTTTCCGTAAAAGTTATAATCAGAAAACTAAAAAATTAGGCTTTTGTTTTTATATATAAAATTACTATAAATCTATTGTAGTTTTCTGTAAATTTTAGAAAAAACAGTTTGAAAAAAATTACCAAACATACAATATCTAAAAGCACTATATGACTGCATGAAAAAACTCCTAATCGCAATCTCAAACGCATCTTTAGTTTGCTTAACACCATTGAGGGTGTTTGGCAAAAGTTTGAAATCATTTAAGAGTATTATTTTTTTATATAAATTTAAAATTTTTGTTAAAAAATAAAAAAAATATCTCTTTAAAGTAAGTTTTTAAAAAAATTTTGACATCCAATTTTGCTATAGTATTTTAAATAAGTACTGAAATTATTAAATTAATATTAATAAAATAATAA